GATCCCCTTGCAGGGTGAAACTATGGGTAAATTTCTCTCTGCCATTTGCCTGTCTACCCAGCAGTAATTGGGAACCTGGATGTTAATCGTGTTCCGGAGTAATGGTTAGCCAGTGCAGTTGGCGAGTTGTCCGGTCTTCTCGGACTGTTCCTTGACACTGGGTCATGCAGCTCGTTAACTTAGGGTGTGGTTGTTGTGTTGGCGACAGCTTCTACACCTTAAACAAATTTACATCTAGCTAAGCTAGCTAGACATTCATTAGTATAATGTGTGTTAATTTATGTTTGTTAAATGGTGGTATTATTTGTTCACATCTATGTGTAAAGTGGGTCTTGTTATCATGGAGGCTCTTGGGCCACCAGCTGTGCTCTTGTGGTTTCTCCTTTTAACTGGGGGAAGATTGGGCCCTCCAACTCATCAAGTTTGACCAAATTCTCTGGGCATGGCTGTGTGTACGTGTGTTTGTTCAGTGGTTCGATATTGTATAGTCCTTAAGTTCTTGTATTTTGGTGGTGTATGGGGGGAGTTGTTTTGATGCTCTACGGATAATTTTGTTTTGTACTGATTGAAGTTTAAGTTGGCTGGTTTTGCTGAGTGGTATTGGTGGATACTCCAGGTGGGGGCGGACAAGTACTTTTAATAGGTGTAGTTGAATTTTGGTGGCCATTTTGCAAAATCTTCGTAGTTTTGTGAGTTGTGATTGGGCAAGCATTGTGTTGTGTTTTGCTGTGCCTGTTCTTGTTAGTCACAGAATCTTGCCTTCGTTGGAGTGTTGTATAGTTACGTTGTTGACTGTGATTGGTGCTGGGTTTATTTTGGCAATGTGTACATTATGATCTTTAGTTTCTGTGTATTGGTTTCTATTTTCGACTTTTTTCATATTCGTTGATTTTCTCGATGGCGTGGGCTGTTTTTCGTGCCATCATCTGTTTGCCCTTGCCTGGATGTCGGATGATTTGGGTGACGTCATCAGCATAAGCTATGTATTCTCCGTGGGTAGGAGGTGGCATGTCCAATGTGTATATTGTGTAGTGTGTTGGCAAGAGATTACTTCCCTGTGGTACTCCACTGTATGTATAACTTGATGCTTGGGCTCATGTGGTTATCAAAAAAGTGAAGTTGTTAGGAAGTTCTTGGTTGGTTATTTTGTATTTGAGCCCTAAGTGCCAGACCTTGTCGAATGCTTTTGCTCCGTCCCTTAATACAACGTTACATTGATCTCTGTTGTGCATTGCGTTTGCTATGTTTTCGTAAATTAGGGCTAAGGCTGTGTGGGTTCCTGTGTGTTTTCTAAATCCATGCTGCCTGGGGTTGAATTTCTCTTCAAGTTCTCAGTCGGTGGTACGTGATTTTTTCCATGACTTTTCCCGGTGTTTCCAGAAGAGAGATTGGTCTGTAGTTTGATACTTGTGTGGGGGATCTACCTCGTTTTGGTATAAATCTCATGCTCGCTGTTTTGAATTTTCTTGGGAAGTAACCAGAGGCGAGTGATGCATTAAAAATGTTTCTGAGTTGGAGTATCATGTTGATTGGTAGTTGCTGGAGTATGGGTTTGTTTATTTTGCTGATGCCCGGAGCCTTGTTCTTGAAACTGTTTATTGTTCTGTGTATTTCCTCTGCGGTGATTGGATTGATCGGTGTGGATAAATCGTCGAGAGAGTTAATGTCTATGTTGGAACTGTTGGCAGATGTGGGTTGTGTATGTCATGTGATTGGTTACTTGTCGCTCGGTGTTCATACGGAAGTTCGGGTCGTCTTCGTGACATATTTGAAATATTTTGCTCCAGTATTACCTGAATTCGAGTTCTTGCTCTTTGGGTTAGGTTTAATTTAATTTGGTTGCTGTAACGAATGCAGTTTAATTCGTTGCTGGAGATTCCCATTGGGTGTTTAATTTTCCTCCAGAATTTTTTCGGGTTGTGGTAATTTGCTTCTGTCTGTTGTTAGTCTCTGCCAGTTATTACTATATGCTTCTTTGGACGTGTTTCTTAGTTGTTCGTGTATGGTGTTATATTGTCTTCTGTATTCTGGCATTCATCCTTGTTCTATGATTAATTTTATTTTATTAAGTTACTGAATTGTGTCTGTACAATTCTTGATTGATGTGAGTATTGAGGGTGTGGTAATATTAGGTGAGTGGTCTTGGGTATGTGTTGTTTCATTGCTTGGCTCCACATCTCTAGTGTGTTGTGTAGTTGGGTGATTTGGTGATTGTATAACTCCTTTTTAAATTCCTCCCAGTTGGATTGGCTGTAGCTGTATCTCATCCTGGCAGAGATCTGTATTAGCGACGTGGAGAGTGTGACTATGATTGGGAAATGGTCACTGGTGGTTATTGGCCGGGTTCCATTAGCAGGTTAAGATGGTGATGCCGGTTTGTTAGTACTATGTCTGGATGTCCGATGTGACCTGCTCTGATGTATGTGGGGAATTCTGGGCCAAGGTGAATTACGTTGTTGCGATTCAATAATGTGTTTAAGATCTGCCCTACGGTGTTGTCCTGGTGCCCCAAGACGCGGTGTCGTGCATTTAGGTCACCCAGAAAATATGCTGTTACATTTCTTCTCATTAGCCTGAGCATGTCTGCTAGTGGAAATATGGGTCTTCTCGAAGTGAAGTGACAGGTGCCGATTATGAGGGTTCTGTTGGGCTGTTTATGTTGATGGCCAGAAAGTTTTCTTGAAATGAGTCGTGTATCTTGTGTTGTATGTTTCGTTTGATGGCTATGACAGTTCCATCATGTAGTGGGTCTTGACTGTTTTTTTGGTAGACTGTGCAGTTAAATATTTTAAATTTTTTCCGAGTTTTTCTTACCATTCGAATTCAGGAGGAGAATATCTGGGTCTATGCTACGGTATGTGTTGTGTAGTTTGCTTTCTCTCTGTGGGATCCATGCTAAAACATTGTGTTGGATTATTTTAAGTTTGTTTATTATGAAGGCTGGTGCCTAGAGCTGGTTTGTGCCATTTTTTGCTGACCGGTGTTCCCCTGACACCCTCCTGTCAGTCAGCAGAACCAGGCAGATTTTTTTTATATGAGGACTGATCAACTCTCTCTCCTGTTGTCTTGTAATGAGTCATCCTTTATTAATTAGTGTTTCAATGTGTGTGTCTTCTAGGTTTATGTCTGTAGTATATGTGGATTTCATCCTGCCATGAGTCTTTCTGTTGAGACTATGGGGGAGCTGTAGTGGAGAACAATCGTAGACCAATTTCGTCTCCTTAGGTCTTCGTTCTCCGTGGTCTTTCTGGGTCAAGGTGGTGGTGCCATAGTTTCTGTTTGATTCTTTTTTTGGAGTGCTGAATTTGGCGGGGTGTTCTGTTTTTGTGGTGGTTTCGTCTTCGTCCGCCATTGTTACTTCCTCGCTTGTTGGGTCAGGATGTATGTCGGGAATAACCTGTTCTTGGGTTGATGTTACTTGATCTGCGGTGCTCTCTGGTTTGTATATACGGTAATGTTAAAAATTTTGGTAATAGGTACGTCGTTTGGGAATGCCATGTCTGGTAGGAAGTTGGCGGCGAACATTTCCCTTGCGGCCTTGGCAAAAGTTCCAGGTCTGGCTATATTCATGATGTGGGTGTGGATTATGGAAGTTATTATTTTTATGGGAAGATTATTTCCAAGTTGCGACAAAATAGGTTGCTTGGGGAGGGGGGTGATTTTTTCGAGGACCTTTGTCGTTTCTTGGGTTAATTTTAATTTTGTCACAGCTGAATATATTCTGTTTTGCTGTTATTTATTTGTTTGTGTTTTTTTGTGTATACACACACACATATACAATACAGGTAGAAATTACTGTCTCTAGAACGAATGGCTCCCTATCCCGGCCGCAAAAATGTCAGTAACTTTAGAACTTCCCTTAGATATTTTTGGATACATCCTGGGTATCATCCACGAATTGTCAGTTATTGTTTGGGGAATATTAATTAAATTACTCTAGTAATGGTACAATGTTTCTTATTAGGTTATTGTAGGAAAATGCCTGGTTTATATAAAAAAAAATTATCACTGAGCCCGTATAAATGTGAGGAGAGACAGTTAATAGAGAATTGTGATGACTGTTAATGGTATCCACAACAATTAAAAGAGAATAGAATCAGTCTAAAAGATCATGTAAAACTAAAAATATGACACACATCATTTATTGGCTCTATATAGATATGAGAAGAAGAGAGATGTATTAATAACTAAACAAAAGACCGGTATAAATGTAATGTAATGTTAATAAAGATGCTTACTGTATTTATTTTAGGTAAAGGTGTAGACAATGGCTACCGCCAGAAATTGTTTGTCGATTTTCGTTATTTTTCCTATAATACTTATTGTTTTGATGATTTTAAGTATATTAAAAGAAACGACAATGTTCTATTATGATTTTAAGTATTTTTTAAGACTTTTTCGTATCCTACGATCATAAATCCCCTGTTAGTGGGCGGGGCATGAAGGATGAGGGAAATTATGGGGTAAAAACACGGCGAATACAGTACTGATGTTATGGCATTAAAAGTACGTGTCTAGGATCATTTATAACGATAGAAATCTTTTTCTTGCCTTTAATGAGTCACGCGTGAAAATTTTCCTACTTCGTCATTGTTCGCTGTTGACAACCTGTATAAGTTCTGTACCATTAATCCTGATCCTTTAAATAAAATAGGTAAAGGTGTAGACAATGGCTACCACCAGAAGGAATTGTCGGAATTGGGTGAACTTTTTTCTACATATTAATACACCTTTACAAAATAGCCGTAACTTTGAAGTAAGCTAACCTCTATTTTACTTCAATATGTAAATTGAATGCCCAAACATTGCCCTCTGTTTATGTCACTTGGCTAAATTTTTCTCAACTTGTGAAGTCATTGACGTTCATTACTGGCCATAGTTAGAACCTCAGATGAAAGAATGGATAACATGAAGATTAGGCCCAGCTTATTCCTTCTGGATTACTATATTGAACACCCTAATGCTAACCTGACCTAACTTAACGTATCTTCACTTAGTTACTTTTAGTAAATATAATTTTTGTTTGTTACAGGAGATGTTACAACAAAACTTTGAAAAATTAAACTGTACCATAACAGCTGAAAATGACCAAGTGGAGCCTGGAACAAGAGGTGCCACCACCAACACTGCACCATCACCACCTATGCCAAGGTAAACTAAAGGGGGTATATATAAATTTTTCTACCCATTATGTAAACTCGCAACAAAAAGTATCGGTGCATACTGTAGTGTGAACAATTTGAGACCAGTGACGATAGGTATTGGGAAAGGCAAGTTGTTCCAGCCGTATGTTGGCAGCCCTGATTGTCAGCCATATGGCAACACCTAGTGGAGGGGGGGGGGGCTATGAGGATACACTTACCAACCTTCCCGACATATCACACTGTATGTGTATCTTTTCGGAACTCGTCGATCTCACCCTGCACCGATGGGTGTGTATTCTGTGTGGGAGGTTATAGTAAGTGTGGAAGCAGTGGGTAGTGTATCAATAGTGCATCTGGCGACTCGGCCTATTTCAGTTTAAGTGCACACCACACAACCACCTCTGCTGTAAGTATACTTTATCCTCTTTGCCACTGATTATCAATTTGATTTCAACAGAGAATGTTTAGGAAAAATAATGGAAGCATAAAAAGGCAAAAATTATACAAGATAATGAACATCGCAGCTCAGCTGGGATGTGTTGTCTCTCCAGACTGACCCTTGGCACCTGTTGCTAAAGGTCAGTTGGTAGAGGCACACAACCCAACCCCCCTCCCCTGTGTGGGCAGAAATATTTATTTGTTTATTTATATCCTTCAGATTGAGTTTTTATTTTTTGTTTATAAAGTGTCACAGAAGTGACTGGGGAGAATATAATTTACATTGCTGAGATTCTTTTAAGATAGTGATTAATTTGAATATAAACATTCTATTGTTTGCACTAGACAAATATTTAAGTAATCATTTAGTACATTAGTACATGTACAGTACAGCTGTGCCCTTAGGACAGTGTAGCGTGCCCAGAGAAACAGTAGATGCAAATTTTAAAATATGATGCGCCAGATTGACTCGCACAAAATAGGAAAGATTCGCTTTAAATTAAAACATTGTCCTTAATTGTGGGTGTCGCTTTAAGTCAATAATCTTAAATTTAATCGCTTTAAATCGACATTCTACTGTATAGGTAACTTGTATTATTACATCTTATTTATTTTGAAAGATAATAAACATCTTGTAAGAGCTGATGAGTCAGTTTTTTAACATGTAATATTAAATTGTTGTGCTTTATGAATTGCAAATATTTTCAAAGGCAACAAAAAATCAATAACATTAACACTTGTTTTTAACAGCATACACCACAAATCTGTAAAAAACATTAATTTTAATCAACAGAATTCAACATTAAACTGAAACGGACATCTCTCATAGGTGTGAATCCTCAGAGGCAACCAGAATGCCTTTATCACAAATTATATATCGTCATCTGGCCACCTGTCCATTAAATGACAGTCTCTCGAACCATTTCCCACCTCACTCATACGGGAAAATACTTAATAGTTGTAAAAAAAATCATCACTGTTGTGTTATTAGATTAACTGCAAAAAATAACAAGATGACTAACAATTTGGCCTAAATCAGCTAATAATCAAATATTAGAACATCTTGGCAGCAATGTGTCAACTTATGGTTATACAAAATACTACAGAATACAATTAAATTGGATGTTGAATAGGTGAAGAACTCCAATAATCAGTTCATAATTTTGCATTACTATACAAGATTGACCAACAGTAATTTCTCCGTTAGCTGGGATCTTTCAAACCCGGAAGTCTGATAGCTTTTAGATAAACTACTTTGGATTATTATAGTAAAGAAATGAAGTTTCTAACTTAATTAGAACTGCATTAATGGATTCCGGTAGTTCAGGCTCGAGGAAAACTTCACAAGCACCCAGAAACATTCTGGGGAAGTGGGCGAGTGTCTGTGTGCAGGATGTTTAGTTTAGACACTGAAACTTTTCCCAGTAACCGGAAAAGGTTCTGGGGAAAAGGAGTTTTTCCGGGTTTGAGAAAGTCGTCTCGTCGCCCAGAAATCTCTCATCCCCGGAAGTGCTCTGCACCAATTGTGTCGGCTAACGGGGATATCACTGTGTGCACGGTCGCATAGGCCTCCACACAGGCATAGAGCAGTACACTGTAGAGCAGCCTTCACACATTTACACTGCCCCCTGCATCTTTTCTTGCTACGAATGTGGCAGAGTTTATTTCTTGTCTTTACCCAGAACCGTCAACTCGTCCATTATGAATAGGTTATTTTGCCATTCTTTATTAACATACTGAAGAAAGAATCCCCATTTGCAGGTGACATGATGCAACATCTTCCCGAGGCAGTGGACCAGAAGGTATGACACTGTAGACACTGGGAAGAATACTTTCCTACCATCACCAAGTGGCATCATCAACATAACCAACCAACTGAAGTTAACCAGAGATGGACACAAACTTCACCTGCTGCTGTATTGTAAGTCCATTGTTATTAATAGCTAAACTCTTAATTGAACATATCTGTACTCAAGGCCATAACCAGGGTGTAAGACAGTACAGTAGGCCCTGTTCAGAGCTAAGAAGGTGGATGGATATTGACAAAGTTTTGCATAGAGATGGGTAGATATGGCGTAGGTATATGGAGCGGAGGGTGGAAACCAGTTAGGTCAAGAGATGCACAAGTCTAAATGTGGAAAGGAAGAGAGCCAGGGGTGGTCAAGTTTATCAACTTTCCCTGCCTAACCTAACCTACTAAAGTTAATGGATAGGGAAGACTGCTGGAGATATGATGGAAGATTACAGAGGGACCCACCAAATTCGCAGGGGTTAGGTTCTCAAAATGGCTGTGAATTGCCAAATCAGCGAATAACATTTGCGGACTGAGGGTGGGGGGGATACATTTTTACTTGTGTACAAAGAAATGTATATTCATTTTGTGTTGCCCTTAGGACAATTATTTCTTTTTACTGTATTGTATATATATGTGTGTAAACACACACACAAAACACATACATACAAATAAATAATACTGTAATGGGAAAATACTCTCACAAAAAATAACAAACAAATTTATTAAAAATGTGAGTCCACCCTCAAGTCCGTGCTTTATTATTAAGTCTGTGCTTTATTACTTTAATAATAAAGCACAGACTTGAGGGTAGACTCACATTTTTAATAAATTTGTTTGTTATTTTTTGTGAGAGTATTTTCCCATTATTATTTATTTGTATGTGTTTTGTGTGTGTGTTTACATGCATATACCGTATATACTCGTGTATAGTTTGAGTTTTAAGACCAAATTTTTAGGCAATAAATTGGGGGTCGACCTTTTCATGGGTAATAGTTTCGTTAGGTTGAATTCGTGCATGATAGGAAGGGCTAGGAGCAACTTTTAGTTTTAGACATGAAATATATTTACCGGTTACTGCCAGTAAACAATGGAAACGTAAAATATGTACCAATTAGTAATGAACAGCTGTGGAGTGCCTTCAGCAGATGATGCTCACCACCTTACAATAGGCTAACCTACCTTACAGCGTGCGTTCAGTAGTCTATGTTGAAGTTGAACCTGATGACACCGTCATGAGTAAAAACTCGCACAATATTCATTGACTGTCCTTATGTTTTAGTCTTTACCACCATTGGTGAATAGAATTTGGTTTACATTTGTAAATATTATTTAAAACATATATGAACAGTAAATAAGTGTTGCTTTCATATTCATATGTAGAGAAATGACGATACGTTTTCACATGTACGCACTTACTGTTCATACGTTGGAGTTCCCAATCGTCTCTCCTTATTTCTTTACCATTAGTGGTAAGCTACTGCTAGTGTTCCATTTATCAACATTAAATAGCATTACTTAAAACATATATACAGGTAAATTTTCAGCCACCGACTGCAACTCTATTAATAAACCGTTTATTATTATTATTATTATTTTATAATTTTTTTTTAATTAAGTTCACTACAGCTACAACCAGGGTCTTAATTTCTTCAGTTTCTTATGTAGAACCATCGCCACTCACGAAAACAATGCCGTCTTGTCTCCTCGTTTGTGTTTTAATATTCTACTTATTATTAATGAATTGCATTGTTCATTTCACATATATAAACATTAATTCAATGAAATACATATTCGGTAATAAACAATAATGGATCTTTCGTACATATTCTTAAGATAAATGTCTGTTTCCTTGAGTGCGCACGTATACATTGGAAGTAAACACTGACAACAATGTCGTCTCTTATACTCTTGTGTGTTTTAATATTCTAAGTATTAATGAATTGTATTGTTCATTTTGCATATATAAAGATTAATTAAATCAAATACATATTCAGTAATAAACAATAAAGAATCTTTTGTATATATTCTTAAAAAGATAAATGACGCGGCATCCTCAAATGTGCACGTATATGTTAGCGTTCCCAATCCATCTCTTTTTTTTTGCCATTACTGTACTTTCATTTTCTTTCGTTGTTCAAAAGATGTTACCGTAATCGCTTTTTAAATGGTTTTCAGTTAAAAAAAACTGTTGTATTACAATAATATTCTATCCTAGTTGACTTGAATAAATACTTGAATGGAAATATGAGATATTTTTTATGAAACTACCCGTGTTTCAGTGTAAAGTGCCGTAATAATAAATGGTAAACAATTTGCCTTCGGTGCTCGGTGTTTCTGGCACGGCGAGCCTCAGTTTATAGGTTGTAGAGTGTTTTTAGTGAAGGTTTTCTGAAATGAGTTTTATATGCTATAAAATATGCCATTACCCTCAAAAACTTGAGTCGACCTATACACGAGGCATAGCATAAATAAATGATTTCTTGGTCAAAAATTAAGGTCGACCTATACACGAGGTAGAATTATAGAAAAGTATATACAGTATATACAATACAGGTAGAAAGTACTGTCTCAAGAACGAATGGCTCCCTATCCCGTCCAGAAAATCTCGGCAACTTTAGAACTACCCTTGGATAGTCTTGGGTACATCCAGAGTGTCATCCGCATATAATCAAGGTCTGCGAACTAAAAATCCGTGAATTGACAGGGTATGTTGTACTGTGTGACAAAATAATTGTATCACATCAAAATACTTAAGATAAAAACAATCAAATATGTAAAACTTAAAGGTACATAACAGAGTTGTCAATTATTGTTTTGGGGAATATTAATTAAATTACTCTAGTAATGGTACAATGTTTCTTATTAAGTTATTGTAGGAAAATGCCTGGTTTTTATATATACAGTGGTCCCTTGGTTAAGGAACACAATTCGTTCCAGAAGGTTGTTCGTTAACCGAAACCATTGTTTCAATGGGTTTTTGGGTAATTGGTTCCAGCTCACCGAAAATTAATAAAATACACTTTCTTTAAGGTGTGTGTGTAGAAGGCTCCTGGTTGATGATGATGATGATGAGAATTAGAAGTAGGGGTGGAGGAGAAAGGAGAAGAGAAGGAAGTGGGGTGGAAGAGAAATCACCCCATGCTTCATGCCGCCATTTCATCCATAAAATTTTAAGTTCACTTGGTGTAATTCAAGATTACAGTATTTAATTTAAATCAACACTGCACTGCACTAAATATTATCAATATGTAAAATAAATTTCAGAATGACCAATAATTGTACTCTAAAAACGTAAAAATAGTCCAGTCTTATTACTAGACTTGTCTCATTCTTGCAGCAACACTAATTGGCTCAGTTTCTATTTTTGTCCTTCTTGAAGACTGTGAGCGTGAGCCTCGAGTGTTAGTACAGTGATCCCTCGGTTAACGAGCGCCTCGGTTAACGAGATTTCGGTTAACGAGTTACCTTCCATAAGATTCTTAACTTTGGTTAACGAGCAATCCCTCGATTAACTAGTTTTTTACAAGCCGACCTCAACATGTTTTCGCTTGCATTTGGCGGTCCACCAGCTGTAGTATTAGTCCGCCAATACAGTAATCGGTTTTAGGGCTTAAATTCCATACTATTTAGGTAAATATCAAGAAGTTTATACAATTCAATAATTTTAAAAGTTTAATATTAATATTTTTTAGTCATTTTAACAATTATTGAACATAATTGAAGGTAAAGAAACTAGTTTCTGGCACGCCATCCAGCCTGTTAACACACAAACAGGCGTTAGTCTCTCTCTCTTTTCAGTGGAGGTAACATATTGCTTGAGACTCTCTTCAACTAAATGCTTTTTTTCTGTTTCCAAGCAAATTATTGGTCATTTTGAAATTTATTTTACATATTGACAATATATTATGCAGTGCAGTGTTGATTTAAAGAAAATAATCTTGAATTACACCAAGAGAACTAAAATTTTATGGGTGAAATGGCACCATGGGGTGACTTCTCTTCCACCCCAATGCCTTCTCTTCTCCCTTCTCCTCCATCCCCATTCTAATTCCCATCATCATCATCCAGGAGCCTTCTACATACACACCTCAAAGTAAGTGTACTTTCTACATTTTTTGTTGGATTTAGGCAATTTTCTGTGAGCTGGAACCAATTACCCAAAAACCCATTGAAACAATGGTTTCGGTTAATGAGCAACATGCTGGAACGGATTGTGCTCGTTAACCGAGGGACCACTGTAGAGTTACTCCCACGTATTTGGGGTTTTGTTCTCATTGGGTTACAAGTATTACTTAAAGCTACACTTGTGATGTGCAACTCTTATATAAAATCCACAACATTTCTCAGTCTGTCTTCCCTAGGTACTTTTTAATGAGGCTGTCTGTTTATTTCTTATTGTTCTCTCATCACACGTTGTGTTAGTCAGCTGCAGCTGCCACATTATTACTGTGGGTATTGATGTAACTTTCTTGTTAGTGTTTTAGTGTATCGTAAAAGCATAAAATCACTAACACCTGCGATGAACTGATATTCCAGCCCTGGTGTGCCACAAGAAATATGAACATTAGCTATTGCTGAAACTCAACTAAAAATTAACCTAATGTGGATTGTAAATACAAAGTGTTTCTCAGTCATATTTTGTTTTCTTTTAAGTATATTAATAACATTTAGCTTCATTTTCAAAGCAGAATTTAATCATTAATCAGTTATGATACTTTGCAAATACTGCATGCCCTTCAAATTCGGGGGGCATTTTTATTTGTGTGCAAGGAAATGTATTTTCCCCTGTATGTGTTTGCCCTTAGGACAATTATTTCTTTTACCTGTATTGTATATATGTGTGTCTACTCACACATATACAGCTCCTCCCCGACTTACGACCACTCTCACTTACGACCTGCCTCGGTCATACCAAAATTTTGTTCAATTACGTATTTTCGAGTCCCAACGTCAGTGATTGCGCTGTGTATTGACAAAATTTTCGTTTGTAATTCACTTTAAAATGGCTGGCAAGCTTAAAAGTAAGAGTTTTGTGGTGTTGAGAAGAAAAAGAGATGCCCATTTTAGATTTGCTATGTATTATTTAAGCATTTTCGACTTATGGCCATTTTGACTTGCAACCTGGATTTGGGTCCCTCACCCTGTCGTCAGAAACAGCTGTATATATAATTTTAAAAGGCATGATGTTTTATTTTTATTTTTTTTACTTTGTTACACTTCAGTTAAATAAACTTTTATTGAAGTAATTTTGAAGAAAGCTGCTTTGTACATGTTTTAATTTTTACATAGTAACAGTGCAGTACTTTATCTTAAGTAATATTTTCAGGTTCTTTCTCCATCACTGCCTTAAGTGGACCTGAATTGAGCTGGACCTGATGTGAACTAGACTAAAGTGAGCTGGACCTCAGGTGAACTGGAACTAAAGTTAACTAAACCTGATGTTACTGCACCTGCAAGTAAAGTAGACCTAAAGGACTATCTGGTATTTATTTAATATTGTTCTGGTTGTAATATTAGGAAGGTTCTACCGGCATTCCCTAGTTTTTAAGAGTTCTGTTCCTGAAAAACCACCCCACCATCCCCTCCCCCCAGCTAGAAGGTGATAGGATATTTATGGTAAAGGTGTTTTTTGGCTTATAACTTGCATTGCTGGAATCCTTGCAAGATAGCAATTAAATTGAGTATAAACATCTCACAGTTTGCACTAGAGATAATTTTTTTTAGTCCTTTAGCCAAGTACATTTGAGTACAGAGTGAGTACAGTTATATGTTGCTGAAAATTATGGCTTTTTCACAGGGAAACGTCTGTATAACTATCCCCAGTAGTTAGGATATTATGTACTGTATTTTGGGTGTTTTTTATATAATTATTTATCGTTTTTATACGTTTAGTACATTTGCTGGAAGATTCGGACAGCTGTGTCCCTCCTTTTAGTCTTGATCTTTGAGGGTTCACTGTAATTGTCCACAGGGGGTTAATATTTGAAGTTGCCAACACCTATTTATGACTGTATATTGAGTCTTATATAGGGAGAGAGAAAAAAACATTATACAGTAAAGCATTTTCTTTGGAAATTTATATTTGTTGAGTATTTTAACCTATAAAATTACCCACAATATTAACTGCTCAAAGTGGGCAGGGTGTTGAGGTAAAATGTGAGTTAAAATGATAAAGAGAACACCAAACAAACATGGATTAAGGGCAGGAAAACACAGGCTGCTTGCTTCTTCTATTGTCATCCAGGTCCAAGTGACTCACACTCATTACACAATTTCCCAATACAATTAGGTTATTTAACAGATAGGTAAGTGAACAGGGCACCATCTGATTACTCTAGAAGTGAAATGCAACGCCATCTAGAAAGCAGAGGTCACTTCACTACAGTACAATTGCGATACTAGTAAACTGTTCCATTGGCCTACTTGCCTCTGTGTGAAGAAATATTTCCGTATGTTCAATCTGCACGATCACTTGGCAAGCTTAAAGTCATGTCCTGTCGTGTTGGTGGTGCACCATTTATAGGGATGTTAGGTAGGAGGCAGGGTTCCGTTTCTGTGTACCGTAAGCCTCGAATAACGACGGTAATGTGTCCTCCAATATTGCAGTGTAAGGTGAATCGTTGTATCGTGAATCATTAATTACCATTAAAATAAAGCAATAATAATGAGATGCTTTCCCCGGTCTGACCTTTACATAACTTTTGTGTGGCTTTTTACCCTCTTCCCCAAAAACAATACAATTAATGAAAGTCACTATATTCTTTAAATAATGTTTATGAATGGTCCTTATACAATATAAATCAATATAATAAGATCACACAAGAGGAGATGGGACGCTATTGTTGTTGTCGTGTTTACACCTACAATGTCAGTTATCCGCCGGAAACAAAAAATAAGACCCTGGTTGTTGTTATAATAAAATTAATGTAAAAAAAAAATATTTGTTTTAATTAATGTTATTTAATGTACAGTAAAAGTAACCACTGATGTTAAAGAACAACAAAGAGTGAGAGTGGAACGGCAATGTATGCTGTACTTGCGCCCTCAAGGAAACCGCATAATTTATCTTACAAATATGTACAAAAGATTCATTATTGTTTATTACTGAATATGTATTTGATTGAATTAATGTTTGTATATACGAAATGAACAATGCAATTCATTAATAATACATAGAATATTAAAACACGCAAGAGGAGACGAGACGGCATTGTTTTCGTTCATGTTTCCAACACCCGTGACGAATGACTATGGTTCTACTTCTACATAAGAAACTGAAGAAATATGACCCTGGTTGTTGCTGTAGTATAATTAATGTAAAAAAATGAATATGTATGTATTAGGTAATGTTATTTAATGTTAATAAATGGAACAATAGAAGTAGCTAACCATTAATGGCAAAGAAAAACTAAATAGATTGGGAATGCCATCGTATGTAAGTGTGCACATGTGAAAATATCGTCATTTCTCTAGTACATAAGAATATGAAAGCAACACTTACAACTGGTCATATATGTTTTAAATAATACTTACTAATGTAAAGCAAAAATTCTATTTGCAAATGGTGGTGAAGTCTAAAACATAAGGACAGCCAATGAATATTGTGCAAGGTTTTACTCAGATGATATCATCAATCAGGATCAACTGTGACTGAAGCTTTCCATAAAGATATCATAGCGGTTGCTGAAACTGAAGTTGCTGTTGAAGCTTCTTATGAAGCTGAATTTGATGGTTTAGGACTTTCAATAATAAAGCTGTTGAAAGAACCTTTCACAGCCACTTTCTTATTCTCATTACACATCTTTATGTTGAGGTCATATGTGCTTTTCACGTCCTTGTTAATTTTAATGCTTCGTTCTGTTCATGGATCCACTTCAGAAAATAATAATATGTTCATTGCTTGCTCCATATAATATCCACAGACCTCTCACCTTTTCATATCGTTTTAACACATCTAGTTTCTCGGATAAGGTTGTACTTGTACACTATCTTTTAGCTTTTGAACCAGCACGACCACCACTTGCTCTCTTGCTCATATTGAATAGGGACTCAAAAATGCTGTAAGAAACCTGAGAAAGTTTTTCTCCTGTTCCTGTTTAGATGCGTGAAAACAAAAGGACTGCCAAGCTCCGACTCTTGTTTACTGGTGATGCTCATTACCACTCATATAGCCCAGCAGCTTCCCTTACCTGGCAACTTCTTTGCGCAAAGGTTTAGTTCAGCCGCTCGACTTGCGCAGCCACCCAGGATGCCCCCATTCATGCAAATTTATTCAAATTACGAATTTTCGAGTCCCGACGTTAGTGATTGCGCTGTGTACTGACCAATTTTTTGTTTGTAATTCCTTTTAAAATGGCTGGCAAGCCTAAAAGTAAGAGTTTTGTGGTGCTGAGAAGAAAAAGAGACACCCGTTTTAGATTTTCTATGCATTATTTTTGCATTCTCGACTTACGACCTGGATTTGGATCCCTAACCCCATCGTAAGTCGGAGACTGCCTATATTTACAGTACAGTCATGCGCCGGTTAACGTACGATCGCATATACGTCCGTCCGTCCCCCCGCCTCCCCAAAAAAACCCACTTCCGTGACGCCTGCTGGACCACCACTCCACGACCCCCTTACGGAGACACGATGATCCTTCCCATACTGGCCAGATATTATGTTTTAAAGGAATATCCTTCCTTAGGCTTTAGTAAGCATTTGCCTCCAGGTGTAATGTTAACCTACATCTATTGAGGATAAAATCTTTCACCTACAAATTGACAATAACACATTTGCTATAATCAGACATATCTAGTTGCCTCAACAATTGCAACCCCTGTTGCAATTGGGGTTGCAATTTCAAATTCTGTGTCATTTAAGGAATAACGAAGTCTCAGGTGCACTGCACTCTTAAGATTAAGAGAAAACGGACTCAGGCGTCCTGAAGCGAGAGAAAACGGACTCCTATGATGGGGGACACAAGCACTCACACATGCCACTCATACTGACAGACTTGACACTCACTTACTTGACAAGTTTTACCAACCATTAGTTGTGTACGTTATCTAGTGAATTTAGTCAATATTTTACAGTACACTGCAACACAGTGGTCCCTTGGTTAACAATGGAACAAACCTGTACTGTACATGTACTAAATGATTACGGTACTTAAATTGTTATGTCTATTGCAAATATAGATTGTTTATACAGGTATTCAAATAAATCACTATCTTACAAGAATCCCAGCAATGTAAGTTATATTCACCCAGGTCGTTTGGGTGGCAAATTATGAGAAGATCTTAGTCACTCTTAAGTAATGATAAATAAACACGCAAGCCTTCAGCGCCAACTGTCAAATCTTATCTCAAATAAATAAACCAACACCAGACACTCTTGTCACCCCCCCCCCCCTTCCCACGCTCGCTGGCTACCTCCCTCCTTGTGTTCCCAGACAAAAGATTGGTGATACCTTTATGCTTTAAGGCATTTATTTTATATAATATCTCAGACTAAAGTTAGGAGATTATAATTTGCATTGCTGGAATCTTTACAAGACAGCCAATAATCTTAATATAAACTTCATATATTTTGCTCAAGATATAAAAATTGTAGTACATTAGTGTACAATACTGTAGTACATTTTATAATACAGTATAAAGTTTTTCAACTGTATTTTTGGGTAGATTTACATAAATATCTTCATTTATTTTCATCCATTTACATGCACACACCATACTAAAAGAAACGTAAAAGAAATACTGTAAATGACTTTAGTGCAAAGCTGGAGTGCACATGTACTAATTTGATTACGGTACTAAAATTGTTGTCTAGTGCAAATTATAGGTTGTTTATATTTAAATAAATCAGCATCTTACAAGAATCCCAGCAATGTAAATTATATTCACCCAGGTCATTTCACTGGCTTTTTATAGGAGAGAAGCTTAGTCACTTAAGAACTGATAATTCGTTAGACCTGGGCCTGTGCCAACTGTCAAACTGCTCCCCTCCACCCCACCCCACCCCACGCCCCCTCCCTCCCTCTCCCCCATCTGCCCAGTGTTGCTGGAATCCTTGTAAAACAGTGAATAATATTAAAATAAACGTCATGTATTTTGCACAAGAGATAAAAATTAATCACCTGTATCACATTACAGTAGTGATTTAGGAGTAAAAGTGTATACTGTATGTACGATTATAGTATTCCACATACACGTAAGTATAAATACTGTACACAGTTTATGTGATGATCGGACAACGGTTAACGTCACGTTTCCAAGAACGTATCTAGGATGTTAACCGCGCATGACTGTATATGAAAATGTAATTTTATTTTATTTTTATTATAGTTTCGTCATAAATTTGAATAAAATAATGACGTAAATTGAATTGGGTCCTAAATTAACCAGGGTCTTAAATATAAATTGTCGTTGGTGGAACTGTCGTTATCGGAGGCTTTACTGTACAGTACAGTAATCCAGACTGAGAGGTACATGAGATTTGTACAGATTAAGGAGCATTTATCTATCTTTGTGTTAGAAGGTTTGCTTTATAATTCCCTCATTTGAACGGCTTATGGTTGCAACATCGTCTTGACTTACTACCTTCTCAAGTACTGTACAGTGTCGTCTGTAAACTTGGCAATGTGGCTCAATATATTTTCATCTCTGTCATTTATGTAGATCTCAAGCAGGGTGGATCCAAGGATAGAGCCTTGTGCTACACCACTGAGAACCTTCTTCCATTCAGAATGTACTCCATTTATGACCACCATGTACTCCATTTATGACCACCCTGTACTCCATTTATGACCACCCTTTGTGTCCATTCTTTGAACCAGTTGTTAATCCACTTAAAAATTTTGCCTGTGATACAATTTGGCTGGATTTTAGAGGCTACCTGTAAATGTGGGACTTTGTCAAGTGCCCGAGAGA